TAGAGATAGAGAGTATATATATAGTAGAAGTATAATTTTATAAGCTAAGATTTTAGTATTTTATTACTTTATAATTTATAGCTTAGTTAGTTATAAGCTATTAAAAATATATAATTATATTATAATTTTTTTTACTATAAATAAATATTAGTATTTATAAAATAGTTATCTTACTACTCTAAATTTTAAAAGCTTTAACTACTATACTAGAAGTAGTAGTACTAAAAACTTAAGTTTTAGCCTATTTAACGCCTATATCTTTAAACGTAAAATTTTAACTTTTTTAAAATACGTTTTTTTATATACTAGTAATAGACTTTACTGTTTTTAGACTAGCTTCTACTATAAGATTATTAGTTTACTAATAAATAAAAAAAAAATCTAAAACGTTTAAATGGTCTCATACCTCTCCTCCCTAATGGCTCTCACTGCCTATCCCTTCGTCGCCCGAAACACCTTTCTGATTCTCAACATTATCGAACAACGTTTGGGAAGACTCCACAGCCTCTGAATCAACGTGTGTTGGCTGGCGCGTCTTATAGGCACGTACCATACACCCTCTCTAGTCTGGACCCTGAGACCCCACCAGCAGTCCCACCTAGAACTAGACTTCGTGGTATACCCGCTCGACCCCATCGCTAATTGCCCTAATTAATAGTCGGTTCAGAAACCCCACGATATAGAGGCGGAGATAGTGGAAATCTGGCCGATGCTACACATTTTGGTACTGGAACAGGTGCAGGTCGCTCGAGTGGATCCACTTAGTCACCGGGTACGACGCGGATATGGCCAGATCACCCACTCTCCCAATGGGAATTTCACGACGGCCTATCCTTATCCATAGGCGGGCTACAACCGCTCATATTGGCATCTTCATCGTCGACGACAGGCTCGTTGTTCATAGCTGCAGTGAGAGCTCCAGGAGCCGGGTCACTCGTTTGCGCAGCATTGCCCGATTGTTGTTGCTGATTGGGTTGCTGAGGCTTCTCCTAGTCGTGACCGTAAATGCTGTCAACATCGCTATCGTTCTCTTTGTTGTCATCGCCTCCCGGAGCTTGCGAGGGCTTATCTCCAACCGCATCTCCATCTTGCGCTGCGGGCCTACCTGAATGTGTTGTCGCACTGAGCTCTGGCAATGGCTTCTGTGGTACACTCAATCCAGACAAGGGTAGTAACTGGGCCCGGAAGTCTGACGCTGACTTCGGAGTATATCCTGCCGCAGGCTGTGTCGGGTCGTAAGCTGATGGAGTAATAGATAAATTACTGGATTTCATGCCCGCCGAAGGCTGCATGGGCGTGTACGCGGGCGAGGTGACTGGGAAGCTTGTAGTAGCCGTACCTGCTGTAGGCTGTGCACGATGGCGGGCGGATGCCGGTTTGAGCAAGCTTCTTGCGTTCGATAGTGCAGCGTCGGGCAGCTTCATGGCTGGGTAGCTTGGACTCCGAGGAGGCGGTGTTGCATCACCACTTTGACCGCGTGGTGTACTAAAATTGCCGAGAGTCGGTATACCTGCATAAGGAGACGTGCCGTTCATCTCACGCAAAGTGACTGGGTTATACGAGCGTGCGTAACCTCCCGGTGCGAAACCACCTGCTAGATGTGAAGGCGGTGGCGGCCTGTAATACGAAGATGGTGATGTAGGACTCGAGCTGAATATTGACGGCGTGTTGAGTGTCCTTTGTGTAGTCGGGCGAGGTGGAAGACCAGAACTAGCGACCGGAGATGGTTGCGTCGGCGATGGGGTTGGCGATGTGGTGTTGCCCCCCTTCAGTTTTTGGAATACCGGAAGGTCCAAGACCTTTTCCACATCGTTCTTCTCGAAACGGGCTTCTTCCTCAGTGTCAAATGACACTGGACCTCTAAAGCGGCCCTTCTTCGGAGTACTAGCTCGCGCACCAGACTTTTCTTTCTGGGGAGTTGCTGGGTCATCTTGAGTTCCTTCCGGTGCTTCTGAATCCGAGTCATCAGAAACGTCTCGAGCTGTTCTCTTACATGCTTTGTTCAGTTCCTCCAACTGATCCTTTTCCACTTCCTTGGCAAGCTTATCCAATTCATCGTCATCGATTTCGCCCGACAACGCGCTACCGTCGTCAGAACCAGCCGGAGAAAGATCACCTCGAGGTTCGGCGCCTTCAGCATATGGATCAAACCATGCCATCAGCTCTTGTGCATCTTTGTAGTCGTCGTGACTTTCTCCTCGCATTTCGTACGTGTCCATGGGAACTTCCCGGAAGACTTGACCTTGTCGCCCGGTCAGTCCGTCTAGCGACTTCATGCCGGCTGATCGGTATTCCGCATGTTCGGGGTTTTCTACGATCTTGCGGTCCTCCCGAAGTTGTACTAAGCGTGTTCTCGGTCTGATAGTTGTGAACTCATCTGGGTGTTTGTATTCATGTTCAACGGTATTCGGAGTTTTGTTGAAGTCACTGTCCCATACTCGTTGAGTTCCCAGATTTCGCGGGATTTGTGCTTTGTCATCGTTGTCAGTCTGATCAACGTTGAGATCGACGTTCGAAAGCCCTGCGATGAGTTCATCATGGTCTTCAGCAACTCCGTAGTTCTCAAGATTAAAGTCGTCTCCGTGGGTCGGTGGCGGTGGAGCTTCATCTCCTGCCGGCTCTTGATCTGACACATCGTCATCCTGTTCAGCTTGCGTAGCATCCCCAAATGCGGCACCCCAGTTCACGTTTGAGAATGAGAATGGGTCAAACGCATCTAACGCATCCTTAGGAGGCTCAGGAACAATGACCGATGGCCGCTGGGTCGGTAAAGAATATTCATCGCCGGCGTTTCCAAGAACATCATCGAAACTGTCCCCGTCTGTCGGGTACTGTTGAGGTTCAGACACCGGAGGTGAAGTCTTGATAGGTCCGTTCTGCGCCTCATACGCATCAATATCAGCAAATATGCTTTGCTCTGCCATTTCACCGTATTGCTCATCCTCAGGGGACAGATACAGACTTGTTGGTATTCCGCTGTGTTGTTCTGGTCCCTCGAGAGGCACCAGCTGTCTCCTCATGTCATCCGTGGTGGTGGTTTGCGTTTGCTCATTGTCGAAACTAGAGTTGGCGATCTTGTCAAAATCGATGTCAGACAAGTCGATGTTATCCAGATTGATGTTGTCCAAATTTATATCGCCGATATCGATGTTGTCCGTATTGATATCGTCCGAATCGACAGTAAACAGATCCGACATATCCACGTCTCCATCGTCGTCGGCCATCATAGTAGTATCAAGGACCGCGGGCGTAGTGATAGGAACGTCAGCGAGATTGGAAGCTCCAGGCTGTGCGGATGAATCGCCATCGTTGCCGCCATCGCCCTCATCACCGTCGTTGCCGTTATCCATCTGATCGTTGGTGTCAGCTTGGTTGTTCAAAGTCTGACCGTCATCGTTGTCATGACTATGGGGATCGCTCTCACCATGATGCCCCTCATCGCTCGAAGAAGACTCGTCGATCCCCTCCATGGGTCCTGAGCCAGCTGAACCCGACGGCGATGGAGGGTTCGTGCCTCCGCTACCGCTCGGTGGATCGAAAGGAGCGGGTAGATTATTACTACCGCCTCCACCTCCTTGACTACCGCCGCCATCTCCACCAGAGGGACCACCAGGGCCAGGCGGCGGATCTTCACCATCACCACCAGCCCTTCGGGCCGCAGCCTCACGCTCTCGTCTCATGATGGTCAACATACTAGGACCTCCCAGCAGTCTGTTACGCCACTGTTCTGCGGAGTCTGGATGGTTTGGGTCTGTGGGTCGAGCGGCAGGCCGGTTGTAGATGGCGGGAAGAGCGAATTGCGTCCTAAGTTCCTCTTCTGTGAACATAGGCGGCTCAGTCTTGCTGGAAGGAAGCGAGCTGAATGGGGCCCAAGAACGACTATTTGCCGTGCTGGGAGCTGGTTGCGAGAGTAAGTCGGGGACAGTTGCATTGACACTTGTCGTGGATGTAGCTGTTGGAGCGTGATCGCCCATGCCTCCCATTGGCATATCTGTTGGCGAAGAAGATTCCTTGTCGGGTTCAGGAGTGGCATGCTTTGGGGCGGCAGGTATGGACGTATTGCCTGACTCATTGTCATCTTTACCATCACCGTTGCCCTTATCGTCGTCATCGCCGTCACCAGGCGCTGGTGCTCCACCTGAAGCAACCTCCATAGGAGTCGAGGCCTTCTTCTGCTCAGCCTCTCTTCGCACCTCCTCGCGCTGCCTCTCAAGTGCTGCAGCAATCTCGGCGTCTATAGGACTCGCTGGCTGTAGCGGAGCTGATGTGCCGGTGGTAGGACTCCCACCGAAATCGAACTCTTCTTCGCCATCGTCTTCGTCTTCCTCTTCGTCGCTTTCTTGTACACCATCATGCTCATCGTCTTGCCCCTCGTCCTCTCCTTGATCTTGCGCTGAACCAGCGGCTGGAGCTTGGTGATCTGGTGCACTGACAGGCTCCGAAGCAGGGTCCTTGAGAGGCGTCTGCTTGGCGGGTGTAGCGAGTTCTGTCATCTCAATTGGAACAAATGTCATGGGCGTGTATCCTCCTTGCGTCTCAGTTTCTGGTGCGTTGACTACGATGGTGGGAAGATCAAACGAGATGTCAAGTGATGACTCCGGCTCAGTAGTGTCTGTGGCAGACTTCGGTACATCAGTGGGCGTAATGACGGGAGTAGGTACGAACAAAGAATTGGAAGAAATAGCTGGTATCCCAGGAACGGCGACAGTTGGGGGGGTGGTCGTGGCTGACGGGGTAGGGGAAGCAGCTGTGGTCGTGGGAGTGGTCGTTGTCTGAGGAGTAGGCTCGAACAGAGGAGTACGTTTGAACTCGGCAGCTGGCGTGAGGGTACGCACAGATGCTGATCTACCAGCAACTACCGGTATCGCTGGTACCTGAGCCGTAGGGCTTGGAGTGGCTTCAGTTGTCGTCTTTGGCGGGCTAGCTGGGACTGTTTCCTCAGGTTTCTCAGCTTCAACAGTAGCCCGGTGCTGTTGCCCAGTCTCTGTAGGCTGAAATTTCATCGAAGAATCAGCAGCTGGACTTTCGCTGGCATCGTTTGGCGATTGTGGCTCCTCGTGTGCTGCACCGCTCCCCAGGCCAGATTGCTCTAGGAAGTCCTTGTGCTCCTGCTCAGCAGCAGCCCTAGCTGCCTCAATAGCCTTCTCTCTTGCCGTGTGCGCCGCTTCACTGTCGAAAAGCCAAGTCATCCAGCGCTGTGGCCAAGGAAGAGATGCGGTTGTCTGTGTCCATGCATCTGCGGTGGGCGTCTCAGTATGAGCCTGAGCCTGATCCGGAGTCTCCGTCGATTGCTCCCGTGTTGGCGTTCCCACGGGAGTCTGTACAGGCGAAGCCTGTTGTTGAGTGCGCAACGCATCTACCTCATCTGGAAGCCCTGACAAGTCCTCATCCAATAGATCAACTGCTTGACTGTTGCTGGGTGGTAGAGGTGCCTGCGGCGGCTGCGCGTCTGAAGGCTGATTGAGAGTATCATGTTCTCCACTTAGTGGGTCTACTTGCTCTGGATCGGCGACGCCACTGGTAGGGGCGGGAATTTGTGCTGCGGGAGGGCTTGGTGGCGCAGAGCCAGGAGCCACAGCTTCATCCGGCAGGTCAGGGAGCGGTTCATTGGGGGAATCTCGGACCACGATCGGATCCGGCCGCCAGTGGGCTAGAAGTAGAAGTATGAGAAGAACAGTCGCAAAGATAATGCCGTAGTCTTGAGTGCAAGCAAGGACCCCGTTCGTGCCTAGAACATACATTATCATGAAACTGGCTGCGAATGTAAACGACGACCGGAGCTTATGTGCGGGATATACTTGAGCGGCCATGATCCAGCCTACGGTACATACACTGGTGACTGCGATGATGATTGTCGCACGCCATACCCAATGGTAAGCTAGGCCTTGGCACCAGTTGCTGAGGCAGCGTGTACCCACGGAAGATACGACCGACTTGATTTGTGCCCTGTACAACAAGCTCAGGTTCTTCGAGAGCTTTTCGATTGCTGAAGAAGTCGTTTTCTGGGTGTTTGTGATGAGACTGGAGGTAGCATCCCTAATGGACTTGGTAGCCCATGCCGGCGAGAGGGTAGTGGGTATACGAGAGCTCGTAGCCCTCTCCGTCGAGGTAGCAGTGTACACATAAGAGCTCGTTGTGCGTTCCCGCGAAGTTGGAGTGAGTTTGGGAGAAGGCGTGACCCAATTCCGTAAAGCTGTCGTGGTTACAGCAGTCCATGAAGTCGACCCCTTAACTGGGGCTGGGATAGACGCACTGCTAGCAGTAAACTCCTTAACTGTGTGAGCAGCCGACGTCCTCTCAGTCCAAGGCTGTATGGTCTGCCAGATCGCCGTGAAAAGAGACTGGAACAATGGTATGAATGCATAAGTCAATGCCCAGAGCGCGAACATCATCACGACTGGGCCAGCCCATACTGGTAGCAACCCATATACTGTCCGGGGGCCGAGCGAGATTGTCGCGAGCACCCAAAGAAGAAGCCCGCCGACAGTCTGTGGGTACCACGGGAAAACAGCGCGACCTCTGACGATGAGCATGAACTTGTACTGAGCCCAAGCTTTTACAACCCGAAGTTTCGCTATGCAGATCTGAGAGACTTCGACGATGCCGTGCACGAGGGAGTCGATATAGGAGAGGCCCACAAGCTTGAGCACGACAGCAAAATGACTGAAGGGTGGGGCAACGCCGCCTCTGATAAGTCTATCAGCGCAAAACGATGGCTGGTCTATATGGATGAGGACGTATACTACTACTGCAACCGCAGCGTAGTATCGTATCCAGGTTCGCGCGGCGATGATGGATCGGTATGAGCCGCAAACCACAAGGTCCAATATGGTGAAGATGGTGTTGCGCGCCTCTTCATCATAGATGGAAAGGACATGTACCGCTGGCACACTGGCCAAGATAACAGCCAAGTCCTGGACGTAGACACTAAGCCAGATGACAGTCATCGCAACAGTGAAGCCGATGCAACAACGAATTAATGTCTCTTTCTGGTGCGGCATGACAGCAGGCACGCTGGATGACAGATCCTGGGTCTCAGACATGTCTTCATCCCCGCTTAACTCGCTGTCATCTTCTTCGCGGTGAACAACTTCGGGGGTCCTTCGTCCGGCGAAAAGGAGGAAATAAATCGCGATACCGATGAGGGTGGCGTACAACGCCCGGTCTATGATGAAGTGATCGGCTTGCTGCTTTCCCAGGAAGTTAGCTACTGCTTTCTGCCACACGTTGTAGGATACGGATCCGATGCTGCGTGCGTATGCTACAGGTTTGGAGTATGGCAATGTTGGCAAGCGGAATTCCGCGTAGGCGAGATATCCAACGACAAACATATACGCATTGCGCACCATAAATGCCACCATTTCCTGAATGTCCGGGTCATCCTTATACAGATGGTCGCATACGGCGAACAGAATGGATGGCACATATCCCACCATGATATCCGCCACAGTGATAGGGCTATTGTAGTAGGACGGCTTGGTCGGCTTTTGATCTGCTTGCTGTGCGACGTAATTCTCATGAATCGCTCGTCCAAAGTCAGTCCAGCGTGAGAGTTGGGATTTGGCGAATGACGGCGAATCTCGAAGTGGTTTGCTAGCCGGCTTTTGTCTATAAGGTGTAAAGGCTGGCTTGCGTTCTCTCGGCGTAACGGCGCTGTCCTTGGTGCTGGACACAGGTGCACTGGGAAGTGTCTTACATGACGACGAGTCTTGGAATGATTTCCTAGCCGCCTTTTGTCTGTAATGTGTAAAGGCTGGCTTATGCTTTGTTGTCTTAGAGATAGTGCTCCGGGTGCTTTTGCTAGCCGCATGTTGCCTATAATGTGTAAAGACTGACTTATGTTCTTTGAGACCAGTGTCAATGCTTGCAGTGCTAGATAGGGGAGCACTGGAAACTGTCTTCGTTCTCTGCGGAATGGTAATGGTTTCAAACGAATAGTCTATGATCTCATTGAACGACTGTGAGGTAACCGGTAATTGTTCAACCACAACTGGAGACGTGGTCCAGGAAGGCACCTTGCCAACGGTGGGGGACCCGGTCGATGTGACGTCTCTGGGTGTATCGCTGATGGTCGATTCTTTCGATGCCGCGGAGGATTGCGAGCCGTGTAGAAGCCTACTCATCCGGGCTTTAAAGCCTGTGTTTGTAACATTGGAAGAATTTGTGACCAATACTGACGGTACCTCATGAACAGGATTGCTCTTCTCAGTAGAAGTACTCGTAGTCTTTGCTAGTGAACGCTCTGGACTCTTGCTAGATACCTCCGGAAATGTATCTCTCGGAGTACTAGGTTTCCAGGAGATTTGCGAGGAGCTGCTCGCTGTCGAACGAGCAGAGCTTTCTGTGGCAAATTCAGAGGTGTCCTGGATTGATTCGGAAGACGAGGAAGTGTCCAAAACTTCACCCTTGGCTTGCTGTTCGACAGTGAGGGCTGTGTTGCAAGCGGGTGAGACAGAATTTGTGACGGTGATAACGGTAGGACGGCGAACTTTGGTAACTATCGATTCCACGATGTCGGCTGCGTCTTCGGTGGTATGGGCGGGTTTTGTAACGCGAATCGTAGAAGGAATGGGTTTCTGATACCAAACCTTGGCCTGCTCAAAATTTGGTATGTAATGCGGCACAGCAGCAACGACAGCACCTGCAGCGTAGATACCGGCTGCTACTTCAGGATGCTGGCCCCACAGGTGCGCAAAGGCTTGTATTACAGCGCCAGGAAGGGCGTCCATGGTAGGCGATTATGCTGGTGCGTCTAGAAGATGTTTGTATCGTAATCTCGAGGATGTGAACACATATGGTGCAATATCATGAGGGCGTGCCTTGTTGAAATGGGCGATGTATGGAGTGTCTCAAACCTGAGAAGCCGGCAGACATGTAGCTGATGAGACAAAGCGTCCTCTCCAGGTCGGACAAGACAAACAGAATTTCGAGTGAAAGGCCGCCACCCTAGCATCAATGTGAAGTTCACATTGCCTTTGTCCGCCGAAAGAGAAAACTTCGGCGTTGTTGTGAGAGACAAGACAATGAAACCAAGAGCGTGCACTTCAAGAGACCAATGCAGCATTGCAACATGAGCGTAATTTTCACTCAGATGTGGCTCGGCGCGCCAAATGGCGATCCAGTCATCGGTGTCAGGGTATCGAGCCAGAATAAGGCCTTCGTCACTGGCAGAAATTATCATGCGCTCACTAGCCATGAAGCCTGCGCATGGTCGGAGACGATGAGATCAGGGGAAACACGTGAAGCCAGCGTCGAGAAGGGATACGCCCGCGATCACAGACATATTGCCTCATGACGTGGGCCTGTGTGCGACGGCGATCAGTTCCCATGCCCTTCCACCGATCTGCTCGGCGCTCTGCTCTTCCACAGTCCATCCGGCAAAGCATGCCTTGTAGTCATCCCAATCCGATTTGGGGCCTGCCCATATCACTCTGTCCACGCTGTCCTGGCCATACTGTGCAAGGTATTCGCGTACTAGCCCAACGCGTCGCGGGTATACGAAAAGCCATGTCGTAGCCTCCGCTGCGAGCGGCTCAAGAAAACGCGTGCCGTGAACGATGCGATGGTTTGAGGAAGGCAAGAACTTGTTCGAGCTTGGTTCTACTTCGACCCCTATAACGTCGTACGCGTAGGGTGTGGTGATGAGATAGCTTTCGAGGAGACCGAAGCCGCTTCCGACGGATAGAGCAAGCGCGGGAGGATGAGGAAGGAGCGATGCGAGGTAGGCAATGAGGGTTTCGCTGAGAGCTAAACAGCATCCCGAATAGGCTGTCGGTGAAGTTGTGAGTACTGGCAGTTCCACGACATCTTCTACTGGGTTTGATGCCTCATTGTCTGACGCGTCCACATCCGGCTGGATTGGTGGCAAGCGCGCCTCGAGGCCCATGATTAGCAAGATTACAGTCGGTAGCGCACGCAGATTCCAATGTGCATTGAGAGCGTGTGGACGCGATGCTGATACAATTCGGCTCCGTCGTGATTGTGAATGATGACAGAGGCTTGATGGTTCTTGACGCGACTAGACACGCATGCGGCTAAGCTTGGGAGCTATGGCCCATGACATATGCACATCACATGCAATGCACGAGACGCCCCGCCCGCCATCACCAAGCATAGCTACAACCACCGACTCTACTGCATCTTGCGTCATCTCTTCCCACTGAAAGCTTTTGAAAGCTACGTGGCGCCACGAGAGCTGTCATGGCCCGCCTCAACCCATTCTCCTTCACGCCTGGGCCAGTCATCTTCTTTACTACCATCGTCTACGTGGGCCTCTTTGCTGCCCTGCTCGTTACCCACCTGACGGTGCCGAATTATCCATCCAATCCGCCAACCGGCGTCAACCTCACTGAAGCTTGGGGTGACCTTCAGCACATTACCCGCCGGTTCCACCCGTACAACAGCCACGCGAACGACGATGTGCGCAAATATCTGCTTGCGCGCATCAAGGCCATCGTTACTTCAAAAGACCTGGAAAAGGGCCAAGTCGAGCTCTTCGATGACCTGACCGCAAACGCCACATTTTCATCTGGCAGCACATCCATCTATTTTGAAGGCACTAATATCATTGTTGCAATCCGCGGTTCTGATGATGACGAACCCTTCAATGGGACTGAGCGCAGTCCGGACAACGGCGGCGTACTTGTGAACGCTCATTACGACTCAGTGAGCAGTGGGTATGGTGCAACTGACGATGGCGTGGGTGTTGTGACGATACTGCAACTTCTATCATACTTCACAGAACCCAAGAACTGGCCCAAAAGAACCGTGGTACTGCTGCTTAACAACGGCGAAGAGGATTATCTCAACGGCGCCAAAGCTTTCATGCGGAACCCGATTTCTCAGGTCGCCCATACGTTCGTAAACCTCGAGGGAGCTGGAGCTGGCGGCAGAGCTACCTTGTTCAGGAGCACCGATACTGAAGTCACCCGCTACTACAAAAAGTCTAAATATCCTTTCGGAACAGTCGTAAGCGGAGATGGCTTCAAAAAGGGTTATATTCGAAGCGAAACTGATTACAAAGTCTTCCACGGCGAACTTGGGCTACGGGGCCTTGATATTGCTTTCATGGAGCCAAGGGCCAGATACCACACAGTGGAAGACTCCACACGTGAAACTTCGATGAACTCGCTCTGGCACATGCTTTCAGCAGCTCTGGCCTCAACATCCGGATTGGCTTCCATCACCAGTGACGAATTCAGTGGCTCAGAAAGCCTCGATAATGGTAGAGTCAATGCCGGAACTGGCAGCGACGGCGTATGGTTTGACCTCTTCGGCAAGGTGTTCGTCGTTTTTAAGCTACATACCCTTTTCGCTTTGTGCGTCACTTTGCTGGTTGTGGCACCTCTTACATTGATCGGTCTGACGTTTGGACTCTCCAAGGCTGACAAGAACTACCTGTTGGCGCGCAAAGCCTACATCCATTCGTCTGACGATGACAATCCGGTACCTTTATACGGCTGGCGCGGCTTCTTCCGCTTCCCCATCATCTTTGTCACAGCAAGTGCTGTTGTGGTCGCATTGGCTTATCTCATAGTCCGGTTCAATCCCTTCATTGTTTACAGCAGCCCATTCGCCGTCTGGAGGTGAGTCGCTCATGCTGCTACTCTGTTCACAACTAACAATATCAACAGCATGATGCTCTCAGCCTGGGTATTCATCGCTTGGTTCCTTGCGCGAGGGGCCGATGCTATGCGACCATCCGCACTCCAGCGCATGTACGCTTTGATCTGGCTTTTCATCGGCTCCTTCGTGCTTCTGACAATCATCACGGTCTTCGTGAACGACTATCAGGTTGCCGCTGGTTATTCTGCGATGTTCTACTTCGCAGCTGTGTTCGCGGCAATCCTCCTCTCCTACCTCGAACTCTTCCTCGCTCCAACCAAATCTGCGTATGCCCGTCATTTCGAGCAAGAGGACGAATCCCGGCGCAACTCAGAGTCCGCAAGCAGGCCCCTTACAGGCAGCACCACCGCTGCACGGTCCGATGATCGCCCCGTGGGAGACGATGACGCCACCGAGACCACCTCACTTTTACGCGGCGATCGACGTGGATTCGCAAGATACGGCGGCAACAGGCGAGACTCCATCAGCGAGAGCGGCGAGGATCATGCTCAAGGGCCCCGGCGAATAGATCTCGGCAACGTGTATCCTGGAGAACAAGAGTGGAGCGGCAAATTACCGAGCTGGATCTGGGTCGTTCAACTGCTACTCTTAGCGCCAATCGTGATCATCCTTGTCGGACAGGTCGCTCTACTCCTCACGTCGGCCCTATACCAGACGCCATCCGATGGTAACTCGCCTCTGTTTATTTACCTCGCCTTCGCAGCGCTTACTGTGTTGTTGCTCGCGCCCACCGGCCCGTTTATTCACCGCTTCACATATCACATCCCCACCTTTTTATTCCTGATATGCGTCGCAACCGTCATCTACAACCTTGTTGCGTTCCCTTTCAGCAGGGATCATCGCTTAAAGGTGTACTTCGTCCAGCGGGTTAATTGCGAGACTGGTCACAACGTCGTGTCCCTGACCGGCTTGGACGGCTATGTGCAACGCATTGTTGGCGAGTTACCCAGTGCGCAAGGCCAGCAGCTTGATTGCACGACGCCCGAGGTTGCGACGCGTAAGGAACTAAAGCAGTGCCAGTGGCAGGGTCTTGACGCTAAAGTCGTCCCAAAGACAGCGCAAGTCGCGCCATTTGACAACAACACGTACATTGCCAGCTGGCTCAATTACTCGATCCATAAGGGCAATCACTCAAACAAGGCGACGATACGCGTTGTTGGGCATAACACCCGAGCATGTCGCGTGCTTTTCGACTCGCCCATCACAGCGTTGAGCGTCGACGGCGCCGTTTCAGATCCTCGCTTCAAACCCGTCGGTGGGGACGGCGCCCGGGAAGTGCGACTGTGGCATCGCGAATTTGGGCAGCCCTGGAACGTTAGCGTGAATTGGAACGCCAAAGAACAATCGAAACTTTCTGGAAGGGTCGTGTGCATGTGGTCGGACGCCAACACAGGCGACATCCCTGCTTTCGACGAGGTGCAGCACTATCTGCCTGTGTGGGCAATTCCCTCCAAGATTAGCGATGGCTTGGTCGAGGGCTTCAAGCAGTTCGAAATCTAGGGCAGCGGGCTTTAGTTGCGGGGATCCCTGCATGTCTCCGTTACTTTTGCTGCGATATCCATCACGCAAGCAGTCGAGCACGGCGTCACAGCTCACATGCAACCCCTCACTTCAATTGCTCATTTATGCGAGCTTCCCCTTTATCTCATCAATGCCCCAACTTGTTCACGATCCATTTGTTACTGTTCTTTTTGGAGTTTGGCGGTATCATGTTCACGGCCATTGCATCTTGTACACCCAACGTATAGCATCTTGACGTCAACTTAATGAACTCTATTATCACGACGCCCAAGGCCACCACCCCTCGCTTCACTCTTCGACTCGCCTAATTCCAGCCTCTCGATTCCACGTCTCACCACGAACCGTTCGACAGCTTGGCTCGTACCAGAATGCTGAGAGCGTTTGACGGAGCCCAAGACACTTCACAACGTTATCCGCTACCTACCGACGCAGGATTTACCCCTGCTTTGACCCGAAGGTTTCTTTTAGCTGCGGGAGAGACTATATCATCATCTATAGAGCCATCGACTTTGTCATCGACGTTGACGACTACTCTTGGTTCGATAGCTACTCCAGCTGTCTGTACCGCCAGTCACCCATCTGA